TTATATTATTATAGTTTCATATATATGTGAATACAATATAATATATACCTTGTTCTTTGCAGGGTATGCCGCCATATATACGTTTAAAATAATAATAATAATAATAATAATAATAACGGTCCCTTGATGGGTTTTTATTGTTCTCGGTGAGTCGGCCACACCACCAGTACCGCACCAAATTCTCCCATCATATACCTAACCACCGAAGTCTTAGACGGTTCTGTTTTTGACGTTTTTCCTGTCGCCCTATTTAATATAGAGTACACATAGCTGCCATGCACTTGAGATTTACACTGTCTAGGGGTTGCCGGCTGCCTCACATCGTTATTATGCGTTCACTCCTTATAGGTTATATATATATAGAAATAAGAATGCAGCACTTGAATAGGCGTATTATACTACGTAACTGAGCGTTAAGCATGCTTAAAAAAATTCAGTATAGGCTCCGCCTTTTTGAAGTAAAATAATAAATGATATAAATATTGCGTATATAAATTTGATTGCATGCCCGTATAAAAACCCGTAATAGGTAATATCTATACGGATTTTGACATTTTGGCAAAATTTGAACGGAAAAGTCGTTATAATACATTGGTATATTCAATAAGAATAGAATAAAATGATAAATTATCATATATCAATACATAGACATGACCGTCACTAAGAAATGATTTTACTCTAGAGATGACTTACTTCAGTATTTAGATTATTAGATAAAGTCTATGAGATGGAAACAATTTCAGAAAAGTGGTTCTAAACTATGGTTCGGGTACTACTTGTATCTGCATTTTTTTTTGTTCCTAGTGATGGTAGATTATTCCAGATGAGCTATTATAGATTTGTTTTATGAAATGGCGAAAATTAAAAAAAAAAATTTGTTATTTGCACGTTTGTTCTTATTTTGTTATATTTTAGGTAAAGTAAATATTTTAGCAATTTTTAACATTATTTTGGTTTAACTATCTATTTTCGACTATAAGTTATAACTATTGTAGGTAGAGTATAATAGTAGGTATATGGTACTTATACCTAACTTATATAATATATTATACCTACTACAGTGACATAAAATTATATTTTCAATATTTTCGTTGTATTATTTAAACATTTCGGCAAAATTCGAACGGAAAAGTTGTTATAATACGTTGGTAAATGGTATTCAATAAGAATTAGAAACATTATGATATCAATATGGACGTGACTGCCGCTAAGAAATACTTTTACTGCAAGAGAACGTTTTTCGGTATTTAGATTATTATATAATATACTGTCGATGCTATAAAAACAATTTCTGTATTTTCATGTATGCATATACCTACAACTACTGTGGGTAGAGTATCTATATATTATGTAGTACTTGTGGTATGTACCTACAGCACTCTAAGATAAAATAGAAATAATAAGGTATAGCTTATCTATTATACCTCTACTGCAGTGACATAAAATTCCATTTTTAATGTTCTCGTTGTATTTTGTACTCGCTTCACATACATATACCTATATGTGCGTGCAATAATAATGTATGTATTCTATAGCTTGTACGATGTTTGTCGGACACTATTTTTTCAGTGGACGCACGTTGTATATTATCAATAATCGAACACCCGAAAGACCGTTTCGTTGTAGACGTATTATATACCTATATGACTACACAGCACATATTGATACATATATAATATATATATATATATATTCCCAATGCCAAGAGTCAGTCACGTCCGCATTACAGTAAAACATATTCGAGTCTTATGTATAGGGTGCATGTATTATATAAATAAATATTATTTCGTGTACAGAGAAATTGGAGGACGACCGTAAAAGCTCGGCTTGACCGAGTCGTAAAACGTATTATATATAGCCTATACATACTAGTCTCGTCTTATTTTCGGGTCGTTACAATATATAATATAAGAACGGATTCATCTTATCTTATTCCCAATAATTCTTCCTATTATATATGTAGGTACAGTATGTTTCACTGTATGTATGTCTGCCGATAATTGTTTTGCCAATTAATACTATTGTACGACCTTGGTAAGTACCTATATTGAAGTACAGTTTTGGAAAATTATTAAAAAGTCACGCAGTCCATCTGAACATAATATAATATTTTATGTTTTACTCAAAATCATTTTACGATAATCAAAAGAAAAATTAACAATTTCGATTTCACAGGTATAGCGTATATTTATTAAATCTTAAAGAGCAAGATACATTTTGGCAAATATTTTAAATCACTATAATTGCCATCGAGTTTCCAAATAGTTGTGTAAGTTTTAATTTTGTGGCAGGAGTTAGATTTAGCTGTATTTAGAAATAGTAGACATGGACAAATACTGACTCAAGGTAAGTCACCCTATATACTGCACCGCTCATTATAATATTACTATTATTATATATTCTGCTCTCTCCGGCTACATTCACACGCATACATATACTATACGAACTTCACGTATATACAACACTAAAAACGTGTAGAGGGATCGTATTTCATTTCAGTTCGCCACCCGAAGGTTTTACTCCCGGAAGGGTCTCGTCGACTGCTGCTGCTCGTGTTGCAGTAACGCTGCTTGCCGATACGATGATTTATCGTGCAGTCCGGAAGGACACCGGAGGTATTAGTAGTAAGTAACCAGGTTATGGTGGAGAGGGGGCGGGGAACTAAAAGGATTTTAACGAGACCGACTTCACTCTGCACTCTTGGTATATGTACTTTGAACCGAACCGAACAGTCACTTTTTTCAAGATATTATTTTTAAACCTAAAACGACAGTTGTTGTTGGTTTTAAAAAAATAATGAAATAAAAAAAAAAAAAAACCACCTGGTTTAGATGGATATTTTATGTTCACCAACAGATTATGTATATAATAATAAAAAAAACGTACTCTGTGGTGCAGGTTTTGGATGCCATTTTTCTTCACGATTCGTCTCGAGAACGAATTTAGATGTTTTTTTTTGGTGTTTCATCAGTGTATATTTACTATTTTTGAATTCCAACGGAATAACCTCTCAGAGAGAAAGTTAAATGGTGACTATAATTTATTACGACAATTTTCATACTGGTTTAGAGAGCTTAATGTATTTTCCACCCAAAATGTCAACATGAAAAATAGTTATTGGTATTGCCCAAATAGAGTGCTCGAGGACCAATGAGAATGCAGAGAAGCAGTAGTTATTATTACTATTTACTATCAGATTTTTGATGTGTATATACGCACGATATATTATATGAATAAAAAAAATAATAGTGGACTCTTATTAATAAATAAATTAAGCTGTTGCTGTCGTCCATTAAAATCGTTTCCCAATCGAATCTAAATATACAATATACATACAATAATGTAGGTAGGTACACACACATCAAAATGTATTAAAATCAAATTGTTATCAGATTATATGCATTGTAATTATTCATGAAGCGTCTACAGAGAATTTATTGTAGAAAAATAATAACACATAATTTGATTATAAAAGATTTAGTTTACACATCAATTTTTTTATAATTGTGTAAAGCACTACAACTGTCGTCTGCGGTGGAAGTGTTGCGTACTAGTGTGGTAGGTACAAGAGAAAAAGTGGGAAATGTTATATGACCACGCTGAATACATTGTTGAACATATATATATATAATTGCCTTAAAAACCATTTAAATACTACAACTACAAAGTGCTAGGTAATTATTAATTAATACCTTTAGGGCATGGTGTTATTATACCATTGATTAAACAAAATATTAAATTATACCATTAAAAACAACTTCTCGTAATTGTGTGAGTCGTATAATATGTATACCTACTTACCAATTCAACGGTATAAACATATACGCTTTGCAGATAATATAAAATAGTTAAATTTTTCAAATCATTAATTTATCAATAAAATAATAGGTAGGTATTATACTTTTAAATTTAATTCTCAGATGTATTACTGTATAGTATAATATAATATAATTATAATCAATCACAATTTTAGTTTCGTGAGTTTATTGTTATTAAAATATAATAGGTACCTAACCTGTCTATGAATGCGCTATGAGCCCTATGATGACATAATCAACTTTTGGTATTGGTACGTTTAGCACACACTTTACATAATATATACAAAAATCTTATTGCAATTTTCGTGGACTTTTGGGCCCCCGAACACAAACATTTTCAGCAGAGGTCATCGCTATCTTCTCAAAGAAAATATAAGAAAAATAAAACAAATATAGAATATATTCCTATATATATTAAGAGAAAAAAATAACAATTAATATAAAATATAGAGTTATATCGATGTATCTCGATTGTAGAGTAACTCAGTTCAGAAATTACCGCTCTTGGTATATTCCGAACGTGGTTTAAACTCCTCATTAGGCTTTTCTGACATCTCTAAAAACCATCTTTGACACTTTTATCAAAATCAGTCAAGTAGTTTTTGAGTCTATAGGTAACCAAACATATAGAATAATCATTTTAAAATAAATAAATCTGCATACAAGTTGTTTTAAAATATAATTATTATTAATTGCGTATATATAAAACTAATAATTAATTGTTTGATCGATGTGAAGCCATAATATCCTAGACGACTTTGTGTATACTCGTCTGCCCGAGTAACCAATGGCCACCATTTATATAAAACAAAAATACTAATTTATAATATCACAATTTATTTTAATCTGTAACCAATTAGCCATTACCAATGGCGAGCATTTATACCTAAACAAAAAAAAATTTCTATATCCATCGTGAACCCCAAAATCCTCACACCTTTTTAAAATTCCGTTTTTGGAAAATACATTCTTACTGCACCCCCATAGTGGTACGAAGATACCAATACATTTTCAAGTCTATATAGCTATTATACTTTAGGCTATACGTTTATCAGTCACTCCGACAGGACACGTTCGATAATTTATATGCATAGATAAATGTATAGTCCAACAAAATCGTTTTCCCAAATATAATTTTCATGTTCACCTAGGTACCCGGAGACGGTGGCGCTGCTCGACCGAATGCCGCCGCGAAAAAGTCACGTCCAGGAAATCCGAGCTCGGCCTCTCCTTCACCTCCTTCACTACACAGCCACACCCCGGGAGGGTGTCGTAAATCATGAATGCGATCGTCGTACAGGGGCAGTTTCAGGCCGCCGGGAGGTACACCGGCTACCACTGCAGTACGGGGTTAAATCAATCCGTATACGTCCATGTCTGCTGCAGCAGGCCAAGGTGGAAAGTGGGTCGGAAGGGACCGTAAAAATCGACCCTCGTGCGGCGGGAGTGGTTTTTTCGTTTTCTTCTTCTCGTCCTAATTGGACGTCTCTGTTTCAACGAGAAGACCGTAACGGCGGCACGTACGAGCTACGTGACGACCGCAATCCTGTGGCTAACGTGCCCGGCACGACATACGGTTGTTTGTTGGAAATTATACTCTAGTTATTACTATTATGTTTTATTTTCGCTTTTCAAATACCTACCACGCAAGCACGGGCATATATTATTACATAAACTCTATGCAACACACACACACACACACACACACACACACGTTTGCGTGCGATTTTATCGGTCTACCGAAGCCGGATCATAAAATCCCATGCATAGGTATATATTATGCGTATATAATATTATGTTGGATTTATACCTATATACATAGGTACGTGCATGTTTATAAGTGACCCGAAAATAATATTTTGTTTCCATATAAGTGGTAAAAGTGAATTATAAAATATTATATATAATGTATACTGTATAGTTAATGGCTGCAGTTTAAACATGTACCTAACCTAAGTGTTTTGGATTCAGTATAATATTGTATTTAGACAAAACCACTTTTTAGTTTTTTTTTTCTATATTTTGTTTATTTCAACATATCATTATAGTATTATGTTTAAATAGCCCACATACTTTTTGGACAAGAAAACTTATTTTAAAAATATATAATTACATATAACCATTTTGATTAATGGACTATTATTTTAATATATTAAGTATAGGTACAGTGCAAAATTATTTTTAGTTTCAATTATGACTGACTAAACTGCAATTTGAAAATAGGAAAAATGTATTTATTTATTTCCATACAATATATTATAACGATTTAAATATTAAATATCTGAATTAGACATAGAGTTCATAATAAGCCTATATTATTAATTTAACATAAGCATTGTATTAACTTCCATAGTTCCATGTAAAAAATATAACATTTCAGTGCTACGTAGGTATTATGTTTTTTAGGCTTTCACACCAAATCGCGTTTTGCTTTAGAGGTGCATTAGGTGTATTAACTAATAATTATTGTAACAATATATATTATAATAATGGCCTATATGAGTTTGGGAAAAGTACTTAATTTTGTAAAATCTGATTACAGGTGGTAATAATGGTTCTCACGCACTAGTCTGAAGCTCGTAAAACGAAAAAAAAGTAATTACTCAGATTGCGCAGAGCTTGGTGGCGGTGTTTCGTATGGTCTCAACCGCTATTTATATATTTGATTGCGACGGGGGATGGCAGTATTTACGCATACAATATTACTTAACATTAAACTACGACTACCTTACAATAGTCTATAATATATTGTTAATTATTATTTATTATACAATGAAACTTTCATGTAACAAACTTCTGTTTAACGAAACATTTATTGAACCGAACGAAATTAGAATCAAATGTATTCAAATCTGTTTAACAAAATTCTCTATAATACAAATTTCTTTATGCTTCATGAGACTTCGTGACATGGAATTTTCACTGTAATACATATTATATTCTAATTTAAGAACTACAAGGTGAACAGTATACGCACAAGACCGAACAGCGAGATCGATTTCATTCATCGTATCCAGATTTTGACGTTATTCATTAATATTATTATTATATAATATAATATCAACACCACAACATTTATTTGGGCTATCAACCCATTTTGAGTCAACAGAGATAAATCACACTTGATCCAATCAGTATATATATATTACTTATGTTATAAAACTGTATAATATAATATAATATAATATTATGATGTATGACCTATAAGTTTATTAGTGGCATGCATAGTGATTAGTGATGTATGTTTTATGTATTATATAGTATCCATCGAAAAATTCAAAAATGCAATTTCATATTTGATATTTCAAATGAATATGTATAGGTAAGCATCGCTTATAATATGATGTCTTTGTTTTTGCTGTAATTAGGTAGCAAATAAAATTTTTTTTATTTATTAAAACCCAGGTGTCTAAAGCCATTGGCTTCATAAACTAGGTATATAATAAAGGTTCAAATTTTATCTTAATATACTTTAATATCAATATACAATTTACAAGTCACAAAAGATTGACTAATTTGGTCTTAATTATAAAGGTAATTGTGTTTTTTATGTTGCCCTCGTGAAGGGCTTCTGAGGGAATGTTTTTTACTCCTAAATAACTCTTTTAAGTGCTTAAATACTATTATTTTTGCTCAATATGTTTATCAAATACCTATCTCATACTACAGTTATACAATCATTAAAATATATGAAATTATATACTTAAATGTTGCAGTCTGCTACCATAATATATAGGTAGAATTTGTATCTATGTAAAAAAAGAGAGTGGAAAATACATATAATACAATATAACATTATTAATCAGAGTTGCGCAGGAGTGCAGTTTTATAATACTCTAATGTTTTAGGTATTTTTTAAATTGGGTTTTGGTTTTAAACAGCCATCGCGTTTCACGATTATGTAAATTAAAAATGGAGATAGATATGTAAAAAAAAAGGAGAAAAAACACCAAACGATTCCAATGATGTAAAGCGGTTTTTTTTAGTGGCCGGGTTCCACAATGCACATTTCACACCACGACGATATATTGTAATCGTAATGTGTTCAGACGATTGGCAGAAGAAAAATGTCGTCCGAGCTCGAGCGCTGCACAAAACACTTAGGTACCAACCGGTTCTATAATATATATTAATATAGCTGGATACACGCTGCGATAATAATATATAACATATATTTATATATATATGTGTGTATAGATAGATACCTCCTAATGATAATACACGGCCACACGTCTGGCGAGGTGCACACTAATAATAATAATAATATACGGAAAACTAGTTTCTGGGATAAAATCAAATCCTTATAAGCACACTTGTATGGCATAGTATATTTTATACATTTATATATATATATATACACCTCTACGATGGACGATTTCAATCTCGAGTGTGCGTCTCGGGTGTAATTTATTTCAGACAAGCCGACAACGTCTGTATTATATATATATATACAGAATAATATATATTATTTTTACCCGTACCATGCACACGATATACACGCGTATATTATAGGTACGCATACGAGAGGATAATGTGGATAAAGTTACTGCGATAGAAAAATGTAAGATGAGAGCTGGTTAGGGGGGAGCCGTCAAAATATGTGTTTCGCGTGTATGCGGTATAAACGGGTAATGAAGGGGGGGAGGTGGTTGAACGGTCGGTGGAGAGCGGAGGGTAATAAAAAATGAAAAAAGTCATTCCGTCGCTTTCCCCAGCCCCGAAGTCGTATATCATCTCGGACGGACCCGGCCGTGTACATGCACATTCGAACATATAGATATTATTATACCTATTTATTTTTCGACATCATTTTATAGTTAATTAACTATATTTTTCGTATGCGTTGTTTTTTTAATTTACTTTTACGATATCGGCCTGTCGATTGTTTAGGCGCATGTATAGACTATATATATTAAACATAATATAAGCACGCCTCAAGACTTGTTGAAATTTATGTTCCGGTATATGATATAAATTATATAATAATATGTAGGTGTATATATACAGAAAAATAAATTCCACGATTATATCATATTATATTATCATAATAGGTATTGTATTATACCCGAGTAGCAGTGCGTATAATAAAATATTATGTATTATAGGCACGGATGCCCATAATATATCCATCCACACAATCCTGCGAGTATGGTGGGGGGTGGGAGCATACAGCGTCGAATAGAAAACAGTTTTTACTTAGTATAATACATTGTTGTTGGTTACTCGGGAAATTGAAGTAAGATTCAACATCGTATCTTTTAACGTTTTAGAAGAATACACAGAAACAAATCATATGTTTAATAAATCAAGGGGATTTATAGTAAATAATAATCATAATATTAATAATGGTTAAGTTATGATCTATAGGAAATTAGAGATTTCCTAGTTGTAATATAAAAATAAGTTAAAACACGAAAAGAACTGCAAACGGGCGAAGCGGAGTTATTAAGCTATAATATTGTTATATTCATACAATAGAAATAGTTCCGTTCGGTTTTGACTGTATAGAATATGAACTATGAAGTATAGACCATAGAGTCCATAGAGGTACCTATACGAAATACCAATAGGTAGTATTAGTTATTAATATTATTAGTTATTAGTTAATAGTTATTACGAATAACAATTTATCAGAATACTGACGTTATACCATATTATTATTATTGATATTTACGTTATATTACAATAATTTTTATTTACATAAGTATTTTGAAATTGCCTATACATTACTCCTTGTATTCTACACACGATAAAAATATTAAAAATACAAAGTTTTATGACAGGTAATTTTGAAATTAATTAAATATGTATTCTACATGTTTACAGTTGATCAGTAAATATACATTCAGGTACACATTTCGTGAGTAGCACGCTCACGCAACTTGCCTAATAAGAATTAACTATCACGATCATAAAATAATGAGCAGCCTACAGCCAATGTCAATATCAATATAAATGTACACTGCGATAAATACATCACCGAGTACATACAAATAAAAAAATAAGTACATAAAAAGTCTATATGTATTATATATATAATATATACATTCAACATATAGTTTTAAAACGAATTAAACTGAATAGATATTAATTCCCATTTGTAAGCGATAAAAATGTTCACAAATAATATAAAAATTACTTTATTTTATTAGTATTAAATACAAAAAAATATTATTGTAAACATGTACCTAATAATAAATGGTATAATTGCGTGTAGGTAATAATTAAATTCTCTCGATATTAATTATGACTATTTACCAATGTTTTTTAAAACCAAATATTAAGAGGAACTAGAGACAATATTTGATTAGGTTTTCTTACGCTACCTAATTTTGCACCGTATACTTAGAAGGAGTAATTTTTTTTTGTTCCGAAAAATATTTAGAAAATGGTATCTTAAATTTATTTAATTAAACCTGCTAATATTTATCATTAATATTTTACAAAATTATAACAGAAGGCCATACAAATTGTAATATTAATTATGTATTTCTGAAACTATGAGTATAATATTGTTATACAGACAATGCCATACCGGCGTACCAATGGCAATAACCTTGACTATACACTATAATACTATCTATAGTAGTTTGGTTAGTAAT